AGTGTATGTATCATAATGAGAATTCTATAATTGATCATGTTACGTAGAGTGCAATTGGGATAAATATTAATGATATAAAGTCTATTTTAAAGCTTAAGGACAATTTAATGGATTGAATAGTAGTTCAGTGTCAGTTGGAGATTTATATATATATATATATCACACACGTGACTATGATGAGAACAAGATCTTTATAAATGGATAAAAAATAGCATGTTAAGTGAATAACAAATTCTGCTGTTCACAGAGTCACTTTGAATCATACTAAGATTAATAGCATGTAACAGCATCAAAAACAACACATCCCACTTGGATCAACACATAAAAATTTTCACAGCCATAGTTGAGTACACCTGGGGGGAGGGATTGTAAAACAATGAAAGAATTCTACTTTTACTTTTCCAAGAGGGTAGAGTACCAGGGGTAGTGTTGGGAGGGGAGAAAAGTGCAACAATGAATGAATGGAAATCCAAAGTCTCTGTAAATTTTCATTGAAATTAATAATAAATGAAAAAAAATCTCACAGACAAAATCAGAAACCCAAATCATTACCATTTAGTCATATGTAACTTTGGGAACCCCAATTGTTTCAGAATAAAATTTTGAAGCATAGAGTAGGCAAAGCTGCTGTTTTTAAGGAGTAGATCAGTAGGCATGTCTTCTGAGGTATCTCTGAGGGAGTTTAAAGTGATAGATAGCCTTTAAAGTAACACTCATGGTATTATATTAGGTCCCCTTTAGTCAGTCCTAACGTACATATCAGGCAGTTGAAAATCCATGACTTGAGTCATATAACCTTAATCTATTAAGTGATATCCTTGTTCTCCAGCACTTTGAAGAAACCCTTGATAATAGAAAAGTCCATTGTATTATAAGATGGAAAAATGATTAATGCTGTCAATGATTTCATCTTGCTTGGTTCAACAATCAACATCCTTGGTACCAGCATTCAGGAAATCAGGACATGTCTGTTGTGAGGGACCCCTCCAAAATGCTGAAGAGTTAGGATGTCAGTTTGAAGACTAAGGTAACCTGATTCAGGCCATGGTCTCCTCAGTCACCTGCTATCCATCAGGCAACTGGACAATAAATGAGAATGACAAGAAGAATTTATGCCTTTGAGTTTTGGAGTTTGAGAAAAATACTGAATATTCCATGGACTGCAGAAAGATCAAACAAATATACACTGGGGAGAAAAGGACAGTCAGAGTACTCCTTGGAAGCAAAGATGGCAAAGCTTCATTTTTCATACTTTGGACAGGTAGCTAGGTGAGGTTATTCCGTGTTTGTTGTTGTTATGTGCCGTCGAGTCGTTTGCGACTCAAAGCGACCCTATGTACAACAGCCCTTAAACCCTGCTGTGTCCTGTGCCAATCGCACTGTCGCTGACACTCCCATCCCGATTGCCCCAGTAACTGAATCAATCCACCTCATAGAGGGTCTTCCACTCCTGCGCTGTCCTTCCACCCTACCAAGCATGATGTCCCTCTCCAAGGACCTGTCTCTCCTTACAACATGTCCAAAGTATGTCAGACGAAGCCTCAGAATCCTTGCCTCCAAGGAGTAGCCTGGTTTAACCCTCTCTAGGGTGAATCTGTTTGTTTTCTTGGCAGTCCATGGTACATTCAATACTCTTCTCCAGCACCACAGCTCAAAGGCGTCAATTCTCCTTCTGTCCTCTCTAGTCATTGTCCAACTCTCTGATGCATAACAAGTGATTGCATAGATCATGGCCTGTATCAGTCGCACCTTAGTCTCCAGAGAGACACTGTTGCTCTTGAGTACTTTAGAGAGGTCCCTAACAGTAGAAAGAAGACTTTTCCATCATGATACATCTTTTGATTTCCTGGCTGCTGGTGCCAAGGGTGTTGAGTGTGGAGCCAAGCAAACTGAAGCTGTGAACAATCTCAATCTCTTCACCATCCATCCTGATGTTACCAATTGGTCCAGTGGTGAGAATCTTTGTCCTTGGATAAAAAAAAAAAAGAAGGTTACCAGAGGAGAAGAAGACCTCTAATAAGATGAATTGACATAGTGACTTTAGCAATGAGCACTAGTGTGTTAGAGAAGTTGAGGATGTCACAGGATAGGACAGGGTTCAGGTCGCTGAATCATACCCAACATGATGGCGTCTCAAATTGACAACAATTTGCATGGGTGTTTATTCTGGATGCAGGTAAAATGATCCATGCATTTCTTCATGGTACAGATATAAGGATTTTTGTGATATTTATTATGTGAAAGTGTAATTCATACTGAAGGGTTTGATCTTTACATGCTTCTTTTATCCCAGCTGCTTGAATTATTTGCTCAGAATATGGATTAAGTAGGTATGGGGAGAGGCTAAGACATTCATGCATACATTTTCTGATTTTAAACCTTGTTTTATTTGAGCAACTACATCTTGGTAATTTTCTTTACATGCACAACAAACAACTGTGCATTGCCAATGAGTCAGAACTTACTCATTGCTGCTCTTCCAACATGTTTTTAGAGGTTTAAAATGGCATGGGAGATTGACCATCATTCTCCCCCCACTGAGTTGCTGGTAGACTTGAACTGCCAGTGCAGGATGCCGTTGGATTGATTGGCAGTGAAACTATTTACAGATAGTCACCATAGCTTCCAGAGCACAATTTCCTGTCAAAGACCTCTTTAAAGTGTTAAAGTGGTTATATTAGCTAAAGACTAGCCTGCATCTGATCCCAACCATTTGCTTCCTATATGTTGGAAAGTTGTACAATGAGTAGAGAAAACCAAGGAAGAATCCATGTCCTTGAATTATGCTGCTGGCAAAGTGGGTTGACTGTCTCATGAGCTACCAGAAGAAAAACCAAATTCTCTTGGAGGCAACACAACCAAGATGCTCATTAGAGGCAAGTGGGGTGAAACTTCATCTAACATATTTTAAAGAGGGACCAGTCCTTGGAAAAAGACATCAAACTAGGAAAGCTAGAGGGTTATTGAAAGAGCTGAAGACCTTTAATTCTATGAATTGATGCAGTGACTGTAGCAATGGGCTTGATCAATGGGGAAATGATTAGAATGGAGTAAGATAAGGTTCAGATCTGCAAATTATAGGATCACTATGAGTCATAGTTGATTTGATGGTGCCTACAAACATCATATACATGTGAAAATTAAAAAGAAAAGTAGTGACTACAAAGAATTGGTGGTCTGGTGGCAAGAAAATATGCTGCAATCCTGAAGGCACATGGTTCAAGGCCACCAGCTTTTCCATGGGAGAAGGATGGGCTTCTATGAGATTACTGTCTCTGAAAACCTACCAGAGGTTCAGCGAGGGATCTGTTCCAACTCCACGGTTTACAACAACAACATTACTACATAAAAATATTGCAGAAGACTGCCATGAGCTGGCAGGAAAGTGAACAAATATCACTTAAAGAATTCTAGTCAGAATGCTCCTAGTATGATAGGACAGGAGTTTTGCTTTAGATCTTTGAACTTGTTAGTGGGAATGACCACTCTTTAAAGAAGGACATTATACTAGGTAAAGCAAAGGTCATTCAAATGAAGAAAAGACTTTTAACAAAATGGATTGGTCAAGATTATGCAATAATAGACTCCTTTATGGCAAAGATTGTGAGGCTAGTATAGGACCTGCTGGTGTTTCTTCTTGTACGCAAGTCCTCTGTGTTTGGATCTAACTCAACAGCAACTAACAGTAACAGCACCTAACTATGTTTTCAGCACCTGAAAAGAATTAACTAATTGGCAGCAGTAAATTTAGCCAATATTTCTTTTGGATTATATCTCACCAGATAGGGGGGAAAGGGAGAATGGGATAATATTATCTCAGCCATAACCCTTAAAACATCATTTAGAATTGGATCACAAATTTAGTTTCAAGGTAAATATAGATAATGATCTTTATTTCCTAGTAGTATCAGAAATCAGAAGAGAATGTCTTTCTCTTCAGGGAATACAGCAAACTGCAATAGCTATGACCAGCATAGGCTGATTGGATAGTAACGTTTATTAATATCTTAAATGGAAGGTAAATATTTATTCTAACTACACCCTAAATTCTGTATGGCACCTTTGAATAAGAGCTAAAGAAATTTCTCTATGGACAAATTACTTGGAAAGAGGTAAAGATTTAAGAAACCGGGAAGAGTTATTTCTTCTAAAGAGAAGGAATTATTTTTGTATAAAAACGTACATATGTGTGTTTGTTAGCATATACATTAAATTTATTTTATAACTATCCTTATTTTCACTACAGAACTGTAAATTTTCATTTTTCTTCATTTTTTTTGAAAATATTTAATATAATAAGTCCTCACTTTAAGTAAAATGCATTTAATCATTGGCATTCTATTATTTGTCAGATATCAAAGAAAGAGGGGACATGTAAAATAATGGAGAAATCATGAACGAAAATATTACATAATTGGAGGAAAACCAGGTCAAGCCTACAGATGAGGTAAGTGACTCACATTTTAGGTAACAAATAAAACATAAACATAAAGGAAAAGAGAAAGAAAATAAAGAAATGAAGGAAACCCTCAAAAAGGAGGTTCATGACATGCTTTCTCCTTTGCTATGTTATCCAAGAGTAATTAATAGCAGGAAATGTGATTTTAGACAATTTATTATCAGAAGATTCTGGTCACCAATATGGAATGAATTTAATGAATAGGGGTGAGAACTGGTGACTTTTACGAGAAACAGAATGGTTTCCTTAAAAAAAATTGATGTTAATAACAAAAGAAAACATGCTAGTTTTAAGATAAAATATCCCTCTATTTTAATTTTTGCATGAATAAAACAGAGTTTGAAAGAAGAACTAATACAAAATTTCTAGAATAATTCTAAGAATAGACTTAAAATAGTCATTTAGACTTAAAATACTATCATGTTTTCTTTATTGCTCTCTATAATATATATCATATACATACATTAATATATAAATTGATAATTACTCCATGGTCAAGATAAACACAAATAACTTACATAAAACTTAAATAATAGTTTCCTATTCAGAATAAATAATTTTTTATAAAGCATTTTGCAAAATGATGCAAAGATAAAAAAATACATGGAATACAAACATTCTGAATAAAGACAAGATTTGAATGTACCCCTGCATACTTTATCCAAATCCTCTTTCAATAAATTTAAAGGACAAGTTATTTGAGACAAAATACTCATATCACTAGTCTCATTTTAGGTTGCCATGCATAGGTTGATTGCACTTCTTAGCTTATGCCTTGAGTTATTTTAACTATTATAATAATTTTTGTTACTCTAAGACATAATCTTATTCGAATGCAAAATAATACAGTAAACCTACTAATGCATGGTTTAAATATTTATATATGGGATAGCTGATTAAAAAATGAAGGTTATTTCTACAATATTCAATCTAATTCATCCATACATACACTTTTTCTTTTAATCTGTCTTGTCACTTTTCTCCTTAGTTATACCATCTGAGCATTAAACCATGGACAATATCCACAACGTCACTGAATTTATTCTGTTGGGACTTTCTCAGAATAAGAAAATTAAAAATCTATGTTTTCTGTTATTTTTATTTTGTTACCTAGCTATTTGGTTGGGAAACTTGCTCATAATCATTTCCATCATTGCTAGTCAGCTAATAGACCAACCCATGTATTACTTTCTGAATTACCTTGCTCTCTCAGACCTGTGTTATACCTCAACAGTAACACCCAAGCTAGTAATTGACTTACTGGAAGAAAGGAATACAATTTCCTATACTAACTGCATAGCACAGCTTTTTACCATGCACTTTTTTGGGGGCATTGAGGTCTTCATCCTCACAGTGATGGCCTATGACCGCTATGTGGCCATCTGCAAGCCCCTGCATTATACCATCATCATGAACAGGAGGAAGTGCAATGTCATGGTCTTTGCTTGCTGTGCTGGGGCTTTTCTCCATTCATTTCTCCAGTGTCTCCTCACTATCAGTCTACCTTTCTGTGGTCCCAATGAGATAGATCACTACTTCTGTGATGTGTATCCTTTACTGAAACTGGCCTGCACTGACACGTACAGAACTGGGATCCTGGTTGTTGCCAATTCAGGCATGATGGGTTTGGTGACTTTTGTGGTCTTGATGCTGTCCTACTTTCTAATATTATACACCATTCGGGCTTACCCTCCCAAGAGCCGCAGCAAAGCTCTTTCCACTTGCAGTTCTCACATTACAGTTGTGGTTCTATTCTTTGTGCCTGTCCTTTTCATTTACATTAGACCAGCCACCACTTTCCCAGAAGACAAAGTGTTTGCTCTTTTCTACACCATTATTGCCCCCATGTTTAATCCTCTGATCTACACACTGAGAAACACAGAGATGAAGAACGCCTTGAGGAAAGTGTGGTGTCAGAATGCATTTTTGTTGGGACGGCCATTGGTCTAAAGGCAGTTTGCACACTTTGTTGAAGCTAGTGTACATCATCTTAATCAAATTCAAGTATCAACTCTTTTATAAATAACATAGACATGGAAATTACATTCGCTTTACTTTAAATGGTTTTCTTTTATGAGTTTCTTATTTTCATCAATTCTTCCTTAGTACTTGAATAATTTCCTTGGTTAACTTGTAATCCATTCTTGGATCTTTTGTCTTTATTTTTTTTCCATAGGAACGGAATTATTCATAGATTAGAGCTCAGATTTATAACATTTTTAACTTTGATTCCAAGGATGAACTCCATGCATGCCTGCAAATGTACCATTTGTGTTTCTCAGATTACATTTAAAGGATGCATATGATCTGTTAGTGCGCTCTGGTGATCTGGTGGTAGGAAGTTGTGCTGTCAATCCAAAGGCACACAGTTTGTAACCATCAGAGGCTCCAAGGGAGAAAAATGGGAAATCTCTCTTCTTGTGATTTACAGGCTCAGAGAGATTGTGGGAGGGTCAGTCATGAGTTTGCTTTGATACCACAAGACATAACAAAAATCTGACCCACTGAGATGGTGACTCAGGACCAGGCTGCTAACTAAAAGGTTAGGGATTCGAATCCACTGGCTACTACTCCACAGGAGAAGCAGATGGTTCTCTGTTTCCATAAAGATTATTATAGCCTTGAATGTAAGAAAATGATCTGTATTGTTAGATCACTAGGACTCAAAATCTGTATGAGAGTAACAAAAGTTTGTGGTTGTACAGCCTATTGTCCCTGCATTTCTCATCAAGAAAAATAATTGTTATTGTGAAGTGTCATCATATCAGTTCTGACTCTTATGTACAGAAGAAGGAAATGCCTAAAATATTTAAGTAGATTGTTGTAACTGCTTGTTTCAATCCCCACAGTAAGTACCTTCCAACTAAAGGGTTTGTTTTCCAGAATTATATAACCTAATATTTTGCTGATAGTAATAGGTTTTCATGTCTCATTATTTCAGAAGTTGACCACCAATCCTCCTTTCTAGTCTATTTTGATTTTGATCTGGAGCTACATTGAAATCTCTTCATCATTGTTGACACTGTTGTACTTAAAATACTAGTGACAAAGCTTACAGCATCATAATAGTTCAAAAGTCACTGTGATATGACAAACCGGCAGAAGAGTGGTAGATTATAAATTCAGCATCAGAAATTTAGTACCATTTCCTCCCTTGGAACATGTTTTACTTGATATATTGTATGAATGTTTAAAACGGGAGGGGGGGTAAGTATTGTCTAAACAATATACTAACCATATAGAGAATTTAATGTCTTTTCTAAGTTAACAATGAAATAAGTATTTTATGTACAAAATAA